ACGGCACCTCCCCATTTTCGGTATTTCGATGATTTTAGCGAATTTATTCGCCGGAATTGTTTCACATTTGGTATTTAAAGTTCGTAATGGATACTACAGCCTAAGACAGAAAATTCGTGAAGCCCCCATATAACGGTACCTCCCGATATTCGGTATTTTAATGATTTTAGAGACATTTTTCACCAGAATTTTTTTCAAATTTGATATTTCAGGTTCGTAATGGATACTACAGCCTACGACAAAAAATTGTCTGTCTACGTCTTCGTATAGCCCCCATATAACGGTACCTCCCGATATTCGGTATTTTGATTTTATCGATATTATAACCGATTTTTTTTTTAAGTTTCGCATTTGAATATTGTAATGGCTTATGATAAATGTTACCTACGCAGGTTCATGTCGTCGTATACACCCTAATATAATAGCTACATTCGGTGTCTTTAAGATTTTAACAGAATTTTTTAAGGATTTTATTTTTGAAAATTTCCAAATTCGTTCCAAATGGTGGAGGGTATTCAAAGCTCGTCCCGGTCAAACATACTGTTTTTAACTTGTTTTTTTTCACTTATTTTGGAACATTAGTTTCTAAAGAGGCAGGATAACCTAAAATTGTCAATTTTCAGAATAGGACCCATCTTGGTCTTGACTACAGTCATCAATTTTTTTGGCTAAAAAAAAAAATTAGGCTACCCTGGGGTAGAGATTCATCTTCCAGATAATTGTCCACATGGGCATTTATTTAAGTAAAGTCCCCAAGTCCTCTTTCACAACCAAATGTGTGCTCAGAAAAGAAAATTTTGTATTCAATTGAATTTGTAATCTCCAAGAGAATATTGGTTGGAAACGTAGATTTGGGATGTACGTCTATATGAAATAAACTCCGAAATTCAGTCGGAAATTGTGGCACCAACAGGAAAAAACTACGAATATTAGAAAGAAAAAATGTTAATGACAAAAAATTAATTCCCATCTTACGGTAATGAGTGTAAAAGAGTAATTATCTTTAACTATTCTGTAATTATTCTGCCCTCAATTATGATGTGGACAAAACTTAATACCACGCAGCACTGTATTCTAAACATTGGAAATATAAATTTCAAATTACAGCTCATTTGAATGGAAAATGTTGTTAAGCTCTTTACAGTACGAAAAATTGAGCTAAGTTTTCACATGGGGCTATTATTGATGTTCTATAGGTTTTCAAGACTCAAATTTAAGCCTAGGGCTGAAAAATGAGATCAGGCTTTTCAGAATATCTAAAAACGACGGTAGGTGAACATCTATTATAATTTTTGTTATGAATATTTATTGCTATGTGTAATAAAAATTGTGGCCCTTACATAAGTTAGATCTGTGCTTTTTTATGCTTTAAAAAATATGCGTTAAAGACTAAAAGTACGGACCGGCATTGCGGATCGGGCCAGCTAGTAATATATTTATTTTTAAATCCTTTAAAAATAAATACATTAAAGTATATTCCAAGTATATTTTTAAGAGTTTTTCAAAGGGTAATAATTAAAGAACAATCGACACAGAATTTAACATGAGGTTAGAGAGTATTAAAAATATTCGAATTTTCGAATCTTTAGTCACTTTCAAGAAGCTCTGCAAAATGAGAGATAGGGTGCATCCTAACCCCACCACCCTCTATAAAATTCATTACTTCTTTCATCCAAAATAATGTTGTCGGTAATCACTTGAACTCATTAATCAACTACTTCTTTGCTTGGCGGCTACACAAAAACATAAACATTTAAGATTATTTCAAATCCACACAAAACCCTACACAAATACTGAAAATCCCTAAAAATCGACTTGAGAGTTTTCTTTTGAATTTTAACACTTTTTAATTCAAATAGTTTCATTATCGTAAAATATTAAAAAAATATAAAAACTTTTCCAAAACCCTCATATTACAACATTAAAAAAAGTTCTGCAACACTCACTCAATGGTTTCCTGATCAGTGTTGCCGTTTTGGGCGTTTCCGTCCAAATTTGGGCGGAAAAAGATAAATTTTGTGGTTTGGGCGGATTTTGGGCGGATTTTTTCCATATTGGGTACAAATTTATTTTTCATGTTTATTTTTACGTAATTTAATTTTTTTATTACTAACTGAATTTTATATTTTTTTATTGAGATGAATTGTTATTGTTTTGTTGTTATTTATTTTATAGATTTTTGTTGAGTTTTTTAATAATATATATAATACATTAGGCTATAGCCGTGCGGAGCCTACCATGTGATACCCTACAACACTACAATATGTTAGAAGCCCCCTCGAGTCCAAATCCATTTTGGAAGATTTCGCTTTTGAAATTATGTCAAGGAGCACTGCCCAGATATTACCCTTAGCATTTTGACCAGGGACATTTTCCCAATATTTATGCACTCCGTCGTGCTGTTAGTTTTTGTGGTCCATTTTACGGCTAAATATATTTCAATGGTCATCCAAAATGCCAGAATTCTTTCCTGTGCTCACCTATCTTCTCAGGCGTGTCGATTAGCTTCAATTGTGTGATCAGGAAATTTTTTTCTGTTTTTGGTTCATTTAAACCCCTAAATATTTTGCGATCATCTCCAAAAGCAAGAGGCCCCTCTGTGTCTCCAAATTTAGACTCATCTATATGATTTGCTTGTCTACGATATTTGGCTATATTCGTCAACGAAATCAGTATAAAAAAGCCAGAAGTTCGCCTATTGTGTATCGCCTGTAAGTAATGTTGGTATTTTTTTACACAAAAGTAGTGATCCATTCTACCCGCTGTCCTAAGCTCTAACTTTATGCGAGATTTCGTGTCCTTAGGTTTATATTTGGGACATTTTGAGTTGCTGGTCCATTTCAACCCCTAAATATATTGCGGACATCTTTGAAAACAATAGGCTAAGCCCTTCTGAGCCTAACCCTACCTTTGTGAAAAATTTCGTGAGGATCGAACGATAATTGCAATCTGTATATAAATAATAACCCTAAACTGTGTTGTAAAGTGAAAAAATATTACAAAACAAATACTTCAATATTAAAAGTCAATTTGAAAAAATCGCATGCGATAAAAAATATGAAAAAATAAAAAAATGTCACAAAATACTACAAAATCTATATGAACATCATTATTGGTATCTTTTTATGTGATTTTTTAGTATTTATACTTTAATGCCACAAGGGCATTCTAAATGGACAAAATTTGTCAAAATCGCTCCAGCCATTCTGAAGATATAAGCATTCTAGCTGACATCCCCTTCCTTTGTATATATATATATATTGTATATATTTCTCTATATATATCCGATATTTTTACTATCGGCATCTACGTAACGGTCAGAATAGACCTGTTCGTCTATTTGTGATTTCGGAGGCAGTAAATATATTGTCGGATTAATGGAAAAAATTACTTTTATTTATCGCAAATGCTATGGTCTACTAAATTACTAAATATTACCCGATGACCATCAAAATTGGAATGCTTCTGCCCAGTCCAAAGCTCTAGCCCCATGCCTATAATTGTGACCTGTAGAGCAACTGCAAAATCAGGAAATTTTTCAGTTTTTGGTCCATTTCAACCCCTAAATATTATGCGATCATCTCCAAAAGAAAAGGGTTCTATTCTGACCTTATCCCCAGCTACATTCTAAATTTCGTGTAGATCGGGCCATAATTGCGACCTGTAGTGTGATTACTAATTAACATGGACAGACGGACATACATAGCTAGACCGACTCAGCTCGGCGAGATAGGAAGCTCCATATTTACTTTCCTATGTGGGACACCAATATTTCGTGGTGTTACATAATTTTTGGCCCAATCAAAGTTATAATACCCCCAACACATAGTGTTGTAGGGTATAAAAACCTGAATAATAATAATGACTTTAATGTATTTAATACATTGAATTCTTGTAGTATGTTACTTTTTCAAATATATATATATATATATATATATATATATATATATATATATATATATATATATATATATATATATATATATAATAAACTTGAAGTAAAATAACATAAAATTGTTATTTTCTCTAATGTATTTAATACATTGAATCTAATAAAACTTGAGTACCTTTTTATGTATAGTGTAAAATTTTCAATAAAATTTACTTGAATACAAAATACATATAAATTATTCAACTTTTTACAGTTTGGGCGGATATGGTCGATTTTGGGCGGTTTTTAGAAAAAATTGGGGCTGAAATAAAAATTTCAAACGGCAACACTGTTCCTGATTTCCTAGTTAATTGTTGAAGGACAACATAAACAAATAGTTTGTTTTGTATTATGATTTCAGTAATATTTTTGAATCAAATTCAGAATAATATATTTTACAGAAGAGAGAGAAAGAGAGAGAAAGAGAGAGAGAGCGACATTCGATTGGAAACATTGGTAATCCAACTTTTTAGAATACTCTTATTAACAGAAAATGTACATTTTTTTCAAAAATTAAAAAAAACGTTCTTCAGCAATCCCTGAACTTGTTATTTTCCAATTGGAAACTTTCCGATATTTCCTAATTACAAATCATTTATAGAATTTTTCCAATGGGATTTTTCAATTCTAGAAGAAAATTATTCAGTATGCCGAATCCTCTCCTAAATTGTTACTTTTCTCCTCCTTTGGAAGTGAAATAGTTTTTACAAACTTTTTACATTTGTCTTGCACGACCGTCGGTAAAACAAACATTTGTTAATGTTCACTATGACAGACGAGTACCAACAACCGACATAGCCAGTAATGACTTTCAAAACCTATGCGGAAGATCAACAGAGAAAAATTTGTAATTTTCGAAAAAATGTTTAGAATATGTCTAAATATTCCCATTTTGGATGGGCCCGAACCGGCCACCGACCACTCTGTATGTATTTCTGCATTTATCCTTTTTTAAACAATTTTAACATCAATTGAGCATCCAAAGGACAAAAATCCAACACATAATTATTTTTTGGAAATTTTCCTTTATTTCATTCAAGAAAATCCCGAAATTACCACCCCAACTCACCTGAACTTGGACGATCACTGTAACGGGTACAATAGACCCAGGCAGGCCAGACGATAGGTCCACCATTGCCGCCGCTGGTACCACCGCTACTGCTGCCACTTGTCCCCGCTCCCGCTGTTGTTGCCGAACCCGTATCATCTTTCCCCACCGCACCACCACCACCCGCTCTCCCACTACCAGCCGTTTCATTTAAACCCGGCGAAAGAGTTGGTGTCTGAGAGGGTGATGATTTAATTAAATCTCCCGTGCCATTTGCACTGCTGTAACTACTACTGACCGCCGTGCTATTCGAGTCATTGCTATTGGTACAAATCGAGGCCAAGGAAGCGGAAAAGGCTGGTGTTGAATTCGCTGAAGATTGATGTTGGTGATGCTGTTGTTGTTGGTGTTGATGTTGCTGAGGATCCAAAGTATCCGATACTGCCGATGACGATGATGAGGAACAATTTGATTTTTGCTTCGCAATATTCAAAAATTGTTTATTGGCATGGGATAAAAAGTGCAGGGATTTTTTACTATGCGAGGTGGCCGTGGCTGGAGGGGATTGACCCCGGCCAAAGTCGCCTTTGAGTATATTATCTATGCTAAATTTTAAAGCTCTTTCATGTAGATTATCATTATTGTCATTGAACAGCCGCGGCAGGTGGGCCTGCATTTGGGTCTGCAGTTGATTCAGGGTGGACATCATGTGGCTGGTGGCGGGTGAGGTTTGTTTACTTAGCGCTGTCAATTTGGCTAAGGTATCTGATGTGGTGCTGGCCGATTGTGGGAGGTGATGTTGAAGATGGGCATGGGGGTGAGAGTGAGGATGGTGCTGTTGTGGAGGTAGAACATGACTGGCGGCATTGTGTGGGGATATAATTTGGGATTGCTGACCATGACCTTGGGTTTTGGAATTTTGCACCGCCGCCGCTGATAAGGCCGCTGCAGCCGCCGCCGCTGCACTAATTTGCCCCAGTTTCGTCAGCGGATTAATGTGCACCAGGTGTGAAGGATGACCCCCAATGCCAGGGTGTAGATTTTGATTACGCAAACTAAATGCACTTGCCCTAGCGGCGGCCATTAAATGCATTTGATGTTTCATTAGTTCCTCGGCATATAAATGGGATTTCCGTAAGAATTCCTCCTGAAATGGTGAAATATTGGCATTGGGAGCCCCAGGGGTCATCACATTGGCCGTGGGTGCTTGGAGAGAAAATGGCACGGGAAACCTTAAGGTACTGGCCAGAGTAAAAGGGCTTAGGGATGACATAGTTTCTCCTGGTGTGGAGGGAGTGCGATTATTTTCATCCACCGAAGAATTTGAATGGGTATCACTGACATCCAAAATTTCTTCATCCTCCTGGGCATCGGCTGGCGGTATTTCATGATGCAAAGCATGTTCCTGGCCCACCGACAGCTCACTGCACATGCTGGCATTTTCATCTAGATCCAATTGATGATGTTTTTGAGGTGCTTCCGAGGCCTCTCCACCATCTCCACCCTCATCCTCTTCATCATCGCTGACAATTCGCACCAAATCCTCGGCAATATCGTCATCATCATCATTGCCATTTTCGTTGGATTTCTTGGGGCTCTGGAATTCCAGCTCAGCCATGGAACATGACATTCTAGTGGCGGTACTTGTTGTTCTTTGCGAATTTAAATAGGGTTGCTTATGTTTGATTAAGCCAAGATTTGAAGCACACTTTTGCAACGCCAGACAAAAGTCCGGGTGCATGTTTTATGGGCAAAAATTGAGGAAAAGGAAATTCAAAGAAATTTTGATGTTTTTTTTTTAATTTTTTATTTATTTTTACAAAGCCGTCGGCATATTTTTGCTTGAATAGAAAATTATTTTACTATGCAAAATTGAACTTGCACGAACAAATTTGCTGGCATAAAGCAATTGATTTGAGGTTTGTAATTTGTTGTATTTTTGTTGGTCAAATTATCATATGATTTAATTAGAAAAATTATCACATTCATGTGCCAACTAATCCAGTTGTACACGCATACGCATTCATAACAAGCTCACACACACACGCACGTTTACGACGCACATACGCCCCACAGAGACGGCAAGCCGGCCAGCCAAAACAAATGGCAAATGTAGGCCTTCTTCTTTAAACGTCCGTTCGTCCGTCCGTACACGGCGACAACAATGCTGGCTGGAGAGTTTAATGTGATTCGTATTTTTTTCTGATTCTGTCGATTTTTTTATGGGTATTCCAATAACAACAATATCTCGCAACTTCACACACGTGATGCCTTTGGGTCGGTCTCTTCTGTGTGGCAAAACAACTGCCGCCGCTTTACGGTTATAACAACTCAGAACGCGTTCGTTAACTGAAGAGCGCAAATATTATGGCCTATACCAGCATACAATTGAAAATTACCCAACGCTGGCGCCAAACGACGACGTCGACGGCAACGTTAATGGGTGTGTTTATGGCTGTACAACAACAATGAAAACAAATCCACAGCCAGTTTGGCAACAATTTTTTATGGAGTTAGTTTTTTTCCTATTTCTCCAACCAAATTAAAGAAAGAGATAAATATACTCTCCAATACGAAGTAAATACAAAAGCATCAACAAAACTTACACACCAATTAAGAGTTGTTAACAAAACAAACAGCAAAAGTCAAACATTATATATAACCTTCTCTTTCACTCACCCAATGTTAAAGACATCCATTAAAACAAAACTTTCTCTCTCTCCCTTACCCATTTATTACATTACACACCATGACTGCCTTGAGTAAACAATGCATTGCCGTCATGGAGTACATGTGTATTGAGCACGACACTCAACAGCCATATATAAGGGGAGAGTTCACTATTCTCCCCATTACTGTTATGCTCGCGCTCTCTCATCAAACACATCAATACTGCCGCAATGATTGACCAAAACAGTAATTTAGTGTTGTTGGCAAAGTCTCCTTCTTCTTTGTATGCTTATTGTGGCTCATCGGCTGACTTCGTATTGCTGTTGTTATTGTTTGTAGGGTTGGGGGTAGGGCTCGATTTCTTTCTCTCTCCTCTATTCCCCTTAAAAAAAATACTTTTTATTGCTCACATAAGGGCCGTTGTTCTCTGTGTGTGATTACCAGTGTTGCCGTTTGAAATGTTTATTTCAGCCCACATTTTTTCTAAAAACCGCCCAAAATTGACCAAATCCGCCCAAACTGTAAAAAGTTGAATAATTTATATGTAGTTTGTATTCAAGTAAATTTTATTGAAAATTTTACGCTATACATAAAAAAGGTACTCAAGTTTTATTACATTCAATGTATTCAATACATTAGAGAAAATAAAAATTTTATGTTATTTTACTTCAAGTTTTTATATATATATATATATATATATATATATATATATATATATATATATATATATATATATATATATATATATATATATATATATATATATATATATATATATATATATATATATATATATATATATATATATATATATATATATATATATATATATATATATATATATATATATATATATATATATATATATATATATATATATATATTATATATATAAATTTAGCATGGGGCTGGAGCTTTGGACTGGGCAGAATCCTTCCAATTTTGATATTTAGTAAATATTTAGGTAATATTTAGTGTTTTAGTAGACCATAGCATTTGCGATAAATAAAAGTCAATTTTTCCATTAATCCGCGAATATTTTTACTGCCGGCGAAATCACAAATAGACGAACAGGTCAATTCTGACCGTTACGTAGATGCCGATAGTAAAAATATCGGATATATATAGAGAAATATATACAATGTATATATACAAAGGAACGAGATGTCAGCTAGAATGCTTATATCTTCAGAATGGCTGGAGCGATTTTGACAAATTTTGTCAATTTAGATGCCCTTGTGGCATTAAAGTATAAATACTAAAAAATCGTATAAAAAGATACCAATAATGATGTGCATATAGATTTTACAGTATTTTGTGACATTTTTTTTATTTTTTCATATTTTTTATCGAATGCGATTTTTTCAAATTGACTTATAATATTGAAGTATTTGTTTTGTAATATTTTTTCACTTTAAAACACAGGTTAGGGTTATTATTTATATACAGATTGCAATTATTGTTCGATCCTCACGAAATGTTTCACAAAGGTATGGTTAAGCTCAGAAGGGCTTAGCCTATTGTTTTCAAACGAAATCTCGCATGAAGTTCGAGCTTAGGACAGCGTGTGTAAAAAATACCAACATTACTTACAGGCGATACATATTAGGCGAACTTTTGGCTTTTTTATTCTGATTTCATTGACGAATATAGCCAAATATCGTAGACAAGCAAATCATATACATGAGTCTAAATTTGGAGACACAGAGGGGTCTCTTGCTTTTGGAGATGATCGCAAAATAGTTAGGGGTTTAAATGAACCAAAAACAGAAAAAAATTTCCTGATCACACAATGGAAGCCAATCGACACGCCTGAGAAGATAGATAAGCACAGCGAAGAATTCTGACATTTTGAATCTTCCAAAATGGATTTGGTCGGCCCCGCACGACTATAGCCTAATGTAATATATATATTATTAAAAAACTTAACAAAAATCTATAAAATAAATAACGATTCATCTCAATAAAAAAAAAATATAAAATTCAGTTAGTAATAAAAAAAATTAAATTACGTAAAAATAAACAATGAAAAATAAATTTGTACCCAATATGGAAAAAATCCGCCCAAACCACAAAATTTGTCTTTTTTCCGCCCAAATTTGGACGGAAACGCCCAAAACGGCAACACTGGTGATTACTACTATTTTGCTCATCTCAACATCAACAGCTTTTTGTTGTTTGTGTTTTATATGGTGCTGATGTTGCTGTTGTTATATTTGTTAATTAAGTGCAACGCCACGACATTTGAGCTTAAGTTTAAATAAGTTCTCGTTTTCTTGTTGTTGTACACAAGTATTTTTATTTTTTCAATTTCTGCCACACATATCCTGCAGTGGATTCGGTGTTTTTTTTTTTCTCATTCTTTCCTTCCAAAAAAATGTATTTTTCACATTAATGATGAGGCACACCAAAATGTTGCTCCAAAGTACTTTAGGGGGTTCTTGTTGTTTTTGAATACGTTTTATGTTTCTCATATGGTAAAGTGCTTGCAGTTGTATGTGAGTGAGTAAGTGACTCGGATCTCTCATTTGGAATGCTGACAATGATGGCAATGATGCGGATGCTGTTTAAATGCTACTACCCAGGCGGCTGCTAACAACTTCTACCTTTTAATTTAACACATCAAATGATAAGAGTTCTTTAAACAGAAAAATCATCATCATGTGCATCATCGCCATCACCATGATGATGATGCTGATACTGATGCCGAAGCAGAGGAAGAGTATGCAGAGAAAGATGGGAAGGAAAGAAAAATCAATATTTTAAACTTTGTGATTTTATGGTCGGTATTTAAATCAAGTTTTGCCAGCTTTAAGTCGTTTAATGGAAAATGTAAATAAGGATTTTCAGAATCTTTAGATGAAACCAATTGGAATGTAGGTAAATGGATTTTCTTATTGGAGTTTGGAGCATCCATATGGCTATATGAATGGTTAGCTGTTTCTTATAGGCAGGAACTAATCTTATTTGTTTTAATAAAAGCAACAAAATTGTTTTCTTCTATTCCCAATTATATACGTTTTCTATTTCGAGCCTAGTCTAAATTAGCATCATCCTGGCCTTATTTTCACAATACTTGGCGTGAGTGGAAGGGCATACATTTCATTAGCGCACATCAACAATTTTTTTATTCGCAAAATTGGAATAATTTATTTTTTATGGAATTAAGGAATATCAAAACTGGGCCATCTTTACGCAGGCTCTAGATATGGCAGACATGTAAAAATTTTGACGAAAATTGGTGACTTATTTCGCGCTTTATAATAGTTTTAATAATTTAAACATTGATGCTTTGTGAGATTGATTAAAGAACCAGTAGGCTGAGCTAAGTCTGACACAAATGTTGCGATTTGCAAAATGTCAACAAAATCTACAAAACATTAAATTGTTTTCAAACTTTTGAGATCTTATTGTGAATATGCGAGAAAGATTGGACGGAATTTGCACATCTCCGAATTCGAACTAAATTTCATAAAAATAGCAATTGTTGACTCTTTATCTAAATAAGGAATTCAAATATTATGTTAAAATATTAGAAAAAAGTGAGGTTGCGGTTCCCCTCAGATGAATTTTTTTCTTGGTACCAGTTAATGTATGTCGAAATAAAATAACGACAAGAGCACTTCTATGTGCATATGCATCATACTGTTTGGTAACCTCAGTCATATGGCAATAATTTGTTTCGGCCAAAATGTGCCTCATCGAAATAACGGTTTTATGCACTGTGTCTCTTTAGACAAAATAGGCTTTGGACATTTGGACTCGATCTAGGGATGTCCATCCATGCGTCCGTCTGTCTGGCTGATACGCACTATAACTATCGAAGAGAGTGTCCAATTTGGCCCATACTAGGTACATCACAATATAATTATTAAACTTAGATCGAGTTCGGAGATGGACAATATCAGCCCACAACATCATGCACACCACCCACACCACAAAGAATCAAATTTTGGAATAATTATAAAAAGCATTAAATGCGAAATAAGCATCAGATTATTTTTAAAATCGTCGCAGCCCAATACCCACTTAGTCCACACCTCTTGGTATCTTCCCCACAAAGGGAACCACATTTTCAATACTTAAAGGGTGAGACCAACCAACTTCAACCAACTCCAAACTTCTGTCATTTCTAAGCCATTCGTCAGACAGTTGTTAAAATTATTCCAGTGACAGCTCATTATATTGTTTAAAAGCGTACAAAAGCATTTTGGTGAGAATTTTCCAGAAAAAATTATTTGTGATGGAATTCAAGCGTGATAGTGTGATTTCTTTATATTTGGCTGGAAAACCACAAGTGGCTATCGTTAGAGCACTCCAGCATTTAAATGTGAATAAATCTTTTGTGTCTCGTACCATCGCTCGTTACAGTGATACTGGTAGCGTAGCCCGACGTCAAGGAAGTGGACGGAAGAAAACAGCAACATCAGCAGAAATGGTTCGAAAAATAAATATGCGACTTCTTCGAAAACCCTCGTCCGAAAAATGGCTCGTAAGCTGAACATATCGCAATATTCCATTCGGAAAAATATTGAAAAATGAGCTCGGGGTAAAGCCATTGAAATTCCAAAAAGTGCAAGAACTTACACCGCAACAGAAAGAAAATAGACTCAAAAGAGCTAAAGAGTTGCTTCGCTTGGCCGAAAGTGGTGAACTGCCGAATTTGGT